CAGTCAAAGGGTATTGAGAAGGCAAGGCCCAGTACTTACCTGGGGTTCCTGGGGACTGCTGGGCCACCAGGCCTGTGGGGGGCAGGGCCAGCAGCTGTTCTCTCTGGGTCCAGGAGGGCCTGGGGGACCGGGACTGAGGGCTGCGGGGGGCAGGGGGGGTGTACTGAAATGCCCCAGTCATAGCTTCCCCACCTTTCCCGTCCAAGTCTGAATACTTTGATGTCAAGGCCAAAGGTGCCTGGTGCAGGGAGACTGAACATAACCATTGTTCGGTATGGCCCACTGAGTTTCCGCACACTGTGGGACACCCCCTCCCCCCATACACACACACACACACACACTCGTTGGATTTCGCGCAAGTACCTTCAGCGTGCCCCTCACCTGTCCTGTGGGGGTGTACCTGGCTCTCCCAGGGCTTCACCTCCAGAGTTCCAAGCCTTGCCAGGGTCACCGAATGGTGAGGGGCCCTGTTCCTCAGGCGCCTGCTCCTCGCCCCCGTCCCATCGCCACAAGGGCCAGGGCAACATGCCGCGTCTGGGGGGAGGGAAGCGCAGGGCCACACTTATGTGCCCCATGCTAACGAGGCCTCCCACCCCTGGCCTGCACTCAGTATCAGCCTCCCTCAGCGTTTGGCACTACCCTGCTGGTCTGGGTGAGCCCAGGATGCCCGCCCACCTCACCCACCTCGCAGGGCCTCGCAGCAATGCCGGCGCTCAGTGCGTTTCCAGTGCGTTTCCGGGCCACGTGGCATGCGCTCCCGCTGGGGTACCGCGGGCGACCCCTGTCGGCAGGGTCAGCCCAGCCTGGCCTGCCTTCAGCACCATGTGAAAGGGTGGCGCTGAGCAAAGGTCACTTTAGAACCCAGCTGTGGACGTGGAGGCGACCCCTTTCCCACAATGCATTGGTTTCACCACTTTCGTTAGCAGACACAGACAAACGAGTGGCAACTTAGAGACCATCTGGCTTCTTTATTGCACTTGACACAACATCTGGTGACCCATCTTCCATTCCAGACCCTCAGCCACACCCAGAGAAATCCAGGCGCCTTGCTGGGCAGGCCTGCTTCCAACCCCTTGAACAAGAGGTGCATGAGAAACAGGGCTAGGCCTGAGGCTGCCCTCACCAGCCCACCCTCACCAGTCCTCACTAGAGAGCAGAGCCCAGGCGTGGCTGTCTTCTTTTCCTGGATCCTAGGCAGGTCGTGGCCCTGCGCCCCTACCTCAACCCCTAAGACTGCTCCAGCAGTGCTTGGACGACAGCAGCGATGTAGGGGAGGCCCCTTCCCGGGGCCCCCTCCTCTTCCAGGATGTGGTGGGGCTGGCACATGGACTCCTGGTGGGGAGGGGCCCAGATTAAGTACCCCTTTATATCTTCTTCTCTGGGCTTCCCAGCCCTTGGCAGAGGGCAGGGTGAGAGACACCCTAAAGGAGACTGGTCAAAGAGAGCTGACAGGATGGTCCTTAAAAATGTAGGAGGTGAAGGTCAGGGGCACCCTGGACATGGCTTGGGGACAAATGAGATGCAAGGAAGCTGCCAGCAGATAACATAAGGGAGATGACACAGGGACCAAGGCGTAGGGGGGAGGAAAGACCTGTCATTTCCAGAGGGAAATGCTGGAGTAGGCAGGCTGGCACATAGAGCCCAATGGGCACTGCCAGGACTGGGCCTGGCCACAGTAGGAGCAGACACAAACACACACACAGGCAGTCACAGTCTGTACAATTTATACAAGAGATAGGGACCCAGCCTGGGCCCTGCATCTCCTACAAATATAGAGTTCTCTCTACAAAATATAATTTAGCCCCCTATATAGGGGGTAGGGAGTAGGGGGTGAAGATAAGAGTGAAAATAGGAAAGTTAAGATCCATCCCCTCTGGGGGAGCAGAGGACAGGGCTGGGTGGGAGAGAGCATGAAGGCACCATCAGTGCTGAGATGGGAGGGGCCAGAGGCTGGGGGCCCAGGGTCCGGGGGCACCAGAGTGGGGCCTCTGAGGTCAGTGTTTGTGAAGGCAGGGGGGTTCACTAGTGTCTTTGGTAGGGGCTGAAGGCACCACTGGTGGGCATGGGGGTTACACATGAGTCTTATAAATAGAAATAGGGCAAGGTGGTGGGGGAGAGGTGACTTCAGGTCCTAGGAACCAAGGAGCCGAGTGTAGACGACATAGAGCAGCAGCATGAGGACCACGTAGAAGAGGATGAAGCCGCCCAGACCAGAAGGGGGCCAGAGGGGTGGGGGGGCCCTGCCCCCCACCCGCTTCACGGCCTCCAGGGTGGTCCACAGCCCCTGGGCGGTGCCCTGGAGGAGATCCGAGGGCGAGCACAGGTCAGCCTGGGAAGGGAGAGTAGGACAGATGGACAAGGACAAAGGGCAGACATCAGCAGCAGCAGGACAATTCTTTCCACCCCCTGCCCTCACATGCCAAGGCCAGAGCCACGCCAACATGCAGAGTGCAGGGAAGGGAGACATGCAGGATAGGGGCTTCCTTCTGGGGAGCAGATAACCACTATGAATGGAACCCTGCCACCCATGCAAAGGGCTCAACTAAGCCCAAAATGCCACCACTCTTATGGTAGAAACCAGCCCCAGGCTCCTGAGATCACCACCCCATACCTCAGGCACACCCATTTTTCGACAGGCTTCTAAGAAACTCTCCACATTCTTCCGAGACTTGAGGGTACTGAGTTTTGGCTGGGGATGTGTAAGAAAGGAAGAAGAGAAGAGAGTAAGGGAGAGGCCATAGAAGTCCCCTGTTCCATCCCCTACTTCCCACCCTGGGCCCCAACTAACCACAGCAGGTGAGGGCACATGAATGAAGGGCACAGAGCGGGGCCTCAGCTGGTTGGCCAGCTGACAGAGAATGACGCCATTGGCCAGAGCCTCTGCCAAGTCCTCAGGCAGGGGCCGCTGTAGCCGTGACTCAAGGATCTGAAAGGGAGGGAAATGGGGGTGGAGGGATGAGAACATCAGAGTCAGCAGGGAACTCCAGCCTGCGTCTCCTGTCCTCAGCCAAAGCACCAGGGTGGACAAAGAGGATATTGAGGAAGGCCAAGAAGCTCCAGGAGGTGCCATGCTGAGCCCAGGTCCCACTCGTGCAGATCCCACCTCTCTTACCTGGCGCAATTGAGCCATTAGCTCCTTCTCATCCAGAAGCTGGGGGGGTCTCCGAGGTCTCAAGACAGAGTCTGGTGAGGAAGGACCTGGAGAAAAGGAGGGTGTGTGGGCTGTCTCCACTACCATTGTTGACTTTGTAGCTGGGTTGCAATGTCTGGGACCCACATCTCCTGTCTCTGTGCTTATGGGATTTTCAACAAAAAGAGACAATTGACCAAAAAACTCCCAGGCCAAAAAGGGTGATTGCAGCCTGGGGATTAGTGCCGGGTTAGCACTGGGTTAGTATTGGGGAGGGGTGACCCACCTGAGCCACTCTGAGAGGAAGAACGGAAGAGGAAGCTGTTTGGTCTCTGAATGGAGCCAAGTGGCCGGTGAGCAGGCGTTGTCACTGGGGATGGGCAGGTGAGAGAGACATTCCTTCAGTGTCTCACTCTTCCCTCAGACCACCCCTCACCTACACAAGCCCCCATCCTCTTCCCAAAGCCCCTGTCATACCCGGTCCAGCTATAGGAAGGGACTCCTGAGAGGTGGGGGCTGAGGCAGAGGCAGGAGCTCCCTGTCCCCCTGAAGCTCCCAGTGGGCTGGCACTGGACTTGGGCATGCCACTGAGGAGACAGAACAGGTATCAGAGGGAATTGTCAGGGGGAAGGTGTGCAGGGAGAGGACTCAGGGAGGTGCAGTCTGGGAGGACACATACTTGTAAGTGGCCTGAGTGGATGAGGCAGCAGCACCTCCACCAGCAGCCCTGACCCCCAGCTTCAGAAAACTAGAAAGTGAAGGAAGAGATGTGGGATCAACAGTGTTAGGCAGGGGGCTGCCAACCCTGAGGGGCAGAGTAGCTCAGGAGGGCTCTTTTCCACTCATTTCCAGGGCCCCCATCCAGAAGTAACCCCTGTGCCCACACCTGTCCTTCTTGGGGGCCCCCCACACTCCACTCTGTTGCTGTTGCTGCTGTTGCCGCCGCTCACGCTCCTGCCACAACTGCAAGGTGTCAGGGCGCCGACGCTCCTCTCCAGACAGCTCCTCCCGCCTAAGGGGCAAGGGCAGGATGAGAGGTAAAGCAGGTCAGGAAAGAGGAGGGAGGGTGCAGGGAGATGGAGTAAAAAGAGGAGGTGCTGGCTCTGGTACCTGCTGCTTGGTGCCTTCTCCCTGTCCCCTGCTGCAAGGCTTAATTCTGGTGGCTGCTGCTCCTGAAAAAGAACAGCAGAGGGGCTGAGGGAATACCTGATGGAGAAGCCTGCACTGGTCCCTCCCTCCAGCTTTCCTCTCACAGCAGATAGACATTTGGACAAGGGCTGACCTCTCACCTTGGCAGCACCTCGCTCTTCATCCTCCCCAGGCATGTGGCTGTCAATGAAGTCAATCTGCTCACTGTCTCCATCAGCTGGAGAGGCAGAACACATCAGCAAGCAGATGGGGGCCTTTAGGCTTGTCCATTCCCCTCAACCCCAGGGCCCCTGACACCACCACTCACCACAGCCATCCTTTCGCTCCCTGGGCCCCCGAGGCTCCCGAGCCAGCTCTGAGATCCTGAATGACAACTCCGAAAAGTCATCCGTTGACTGTAAATGCAGAAATGCAGAGATGGAAGACAGCCTCTGTAGTACTGGGGGCTCATGGGTTCAGGGCCTTGGGGTCTGCTGCTAAGCCAGCCCTTCCCCAGGATACTTGGGCAAGGGAAGGAAGAAGACAGCTCCAGCTGCCATTTGCTACTCTGAGATTTAGAGGTAAAAGGCAAAGGGTCCTGACTTAGAGCTTCTCCCTCAGGGCTGAGATTGCCAATGTCCCTTGGAAAGGAGGCACTTACCTCATTTCCAGACCACCTCTTGCTGCCACTGTCAACACTGTGGAAACCTGAATCCAGCCCGCCATCATACCGACGTCCCGGAAATAAGTCCTCAGCTGGGCTAGGGCCAGCCAAGGAGAGCTGGTCAGTCCTATACTAGGCAGCAACCCCCCCCCCCATCCTCCCTCTGGAAACCATGGAGACCCTGGTGCCAGGAAGGGGCATTAGGGATCTAGGAGCTTCCTTCCTTCCCACATCCTTATTTACCAGGGACTAAAACTCGGGGGGCGGGAAGGGGCCAGGTCACCCAGTGCAGCGCCCCCGCGCCGCCCAGCCTCTGTTGATAAGTACTTGAAGATGTGAAGTTTCCCCTTCAGGCAGATCTAAGTGTGAAGAGGAGCATGGAAGGAGTTAGGGAGACGCGAGGGGGCACCCCAGATCCTGCTTGGCTACCAAAGGGACCCACCCCTACTCCTGTCCAACCTCAACCATGCCTCCAACATCCACTCCAGGCCCACCTCTTACCTGGGCAGGAGGGCTTTGCAGGGGATTGCTATCCAGCAGAATGACCTGCAGGTGCCTGAGGCGGCAGAAGGAAACTGGGATGCGGGAGATGCGGTTACAGGAGAAATCCAGGCGGACAAGAGGAAGGTCTCCCAACTCTGGGGGTGGGTGAGGAAAGAGTCAGGAGTATGCCCAAGGGGGGACCTTGTGCTCACTTCCTTTACCCTCTGCTCTGGCCAG